CAGAGGATTTGATCCCATGGGCGGCTTTGTCTTGTGGAATTACATTCCTTATTTTGCTTTTCAGTCTGTGTCTGGGAAGGTTCGTTTACAGAAATTGCTTCAAAGTTTTGTACAAGCCATGGTGAGTCTTCGTTTAGCTGCACTTCCTGTTGGCAGACGGAAGAAATTAACAGACAGTGATCGAATACAAAGTAAATGTAATACATAAGGAAGAATTTGCTTTCTGTTTGTGTATTTTCTCATTTTGATAGTGAGCAGCAGAATACCGATGTGTTGGCACCGACAGATGTGGAACCTCAAGAGGGTATGTAGGTTAGAATCAACAAAAGATTATTTAGAAAATCTATTCTTTAAGAAGTCTATAATGATTTGACAAGGAAAATATTCTCTCTCATCTGCTTCAATTTAAATACTTTTTATGTAATAAACAAAGGAAATATATTTTTTCTCTTTCAAAGTTTATAATGCTTAAGGCAAAGCCTGTTGAATTTCAAATGTTTATGAACTTTCATGATTTTCTCCTGCTTTAAAGTTCTTCAAGATTTTTTATGATAAAGAACATAAGTACAAAATCTCACTGAAATGACTAATAGCTGGTTTTTTGTAATTTTTTTCCCAATTAATTTATTGTTCCTCTTTCAAGGATCAGATCAAGAGAATTCTTTCAGCATGGATAGCGAAGAAGAGTAAGTTTGCAAATCAGTCTTTATAAGATCTGTAATTAGTTTGTTTTTTTATATATCCATATTTTTTATTAATAAAAATCCAATATGTGTAACTTGCAGGTGCATGTAGCCTTCTCAAACCATCGGCTTATATAAATATTCATGTGTTAGAATGACCTAGTCAAACTCCAGGCCAAATCCAATTGTTAATTTGTGGCATAAAAATCTATGTTGAAATATTTTATTGTATAATCTGACTGATACTAAGTTATTTTGTAAAGAAGAACCTGCAAAAATGTGATTTTCTATCAATGTAAATTTGATTGATGCAAATCCCCAAAACTTGCTGTGACTTCAATGGAATGTGGTTCTGAAAATCACCGATTCAGTAATATTCAGATGTCTATTTGTAACAAAAACTAAAAATAATGCATCATTTTTCTTCCACCTCACAGTTATTCTCTGGTTTGTGTTTGTTGCTGTTCTCCTCTCGGCTTCTCCTTCCAAGCAGTTGCCACAGCACAGCAGCCTCCCCCAATCCACAGCTGCATACAGATGGACTGAGCACAAGTTTTATACCGAATGCCCTTCCTGATGCAAACCTTCCTGTTGTCAGCAACAAGGAGTGGGTTTCAAACGAGGACCAACTTGAAGGGCCACTTGCTGTCGCATCTGAGTCATTGACAACCTCAGTAAGGTTTGTGACGTGACAGAAATATGACAATGTTAAAGGACAATTATGGTAATATTTTATCAACACACTGCATTTAGTTATTCATTTATTTTGCTGCAGTAAAAGTTGTGTCTAGCATTTAACCTGGCAACATTTTTTCATCAGATATCGACAGTGTTTTGAGACAAGAAGGAGGGTTGTCTATTACTCATGTGACGGAATTTACAGCGTTATTCCAGGTAGGAGGAATAGATATGTTAAACATCAGTACATGATTTTAGTCACTTTCCTCTTCAAAAATGTTTGTTACAGATTGAATAAGTAATTATTACTTGTATTATTACAAAAAATATTAAACTCCATGTATATTATAATGGCTTTAACATCACTTGTACAGTCCTTGTGTTCAAAATGTTCAATATAAAACAATTCAAAGACAGGCATAAATTGCCTTTCAAGCATATTTTAGAAAATAACTGTGAATACAAAAGTGCTAAACAAAGAAGCACAGATATATATTGACAGCTTCCTGTTTTTCACCGCAGATGATTCATCTGCAGGACCATGTACTTCACGTGTGCTGTACACCACTTCTGTCATTAAGCAAAGAAAGTCATCATGAAAATCTCCAGAACAAGACTTCACCTGAATGTGATGCATAAATCCATTACATGCATGTATTTTGTTCATTTCATCGTTGTGCTACTCCAGGACAATGCAACAGTGTTGACCTGACAGATTAAGCCACAAGGACAGTGCATTGTTCATACAACTTGAACTTTTCACATTTTGCCACATAATTTCAAATGACTTTGAAAATGCAAAGTAAAGTTAAAATATTTGTTTTGTATGCATTACATGGATTTGTATTAGTTTGTCTCTATCAATCTTAATTTTGTGCCAGTTCCTTGTAAAATAACTTGAACTCAATCAAGCTTGTTAGTGACTGTGAACATTAATTTTCTAGCTGTGACATAGATTCAAAATTAGACTTAGGTCTCTATTTTGACTGGATCATTTCAATATGTGTTTACTGTCATCCTGATGGATGGTGAAACTTAGTCTAATATCTATTGGAGGCTGCAAAACTAGCCAAGAAGTTAGGATATTGGGTAACACTTTATTTGAAGGGATGTGCATAAGACTGACATGACACTGTCATAAACATGACATAACATCAGTCATCAACATAAATAAGTCTTTATTAATGTTTATGACAGTTATCATGAAGTGCCATTCGGTAAATAATGACACTTTTAATGTAAACTTGCTCTACAAGTTGCATTGAAAGTCCATTAAATGTGCCAACTTTGCATTAAATTATCATAATTTATAAAATCATGCAAAGTTGCCACTTTTAATGGACTTTCAATGCAACTTTTAGAGCAACTTTGCATTAAAAGTGTCATTATTTACCGAATGACACTTCATGACAACTGTCATAAACATTCATAAAGACTTCTTTATGTTCATGAAAGGTGTTATGTCATGTTTATAACAGTGTCATGCACAACGACACACACCAAAAAAAATCTGTCTTTTATCTTCTTGTTCATCAATATATGCTGCACGTTCTACTGCATAAAATCCCAGTGAAACACAAATAAGTTTGTTGTTTTATCATGACAAAATGTGAAAATTCCAAGTTGTATGAAAACTTTTGTATTACGATGGAAATTCTACAATTTTGTTTTTTTGGTTGTTTTTTTTTGTCTGTTGGAGAGTACTTATTTGTACTTTATGAAACATTGTGGGGATCAAATAGTTGTGTGCTTAATTCATTTAATTTTGCCAATGTGTTTCACTTTTTGCTCTGTAAATACTGAATGCTGATGGCAACACTGTTTTAGTTAGTACACTTATGGCTGCAATGTTCACTATGTCCACTTAATTTATCTAAAGTGAATAATAAAATGTCTATTCAGTTCTTTAAAAAAAAGTACATTTTGGAGCCAACATTGTGAAAATAAATAAATTTACAATCACTAGTGCTGTGAAAAGTTTAAAAGTGAGAAAAAGAAAACTGGGGAATTGCATTTTTCAAGACTCACCAGTAGATGTCGCTATTGACCTGAACTCTTAAATGACTTTCAATGAAATGCTTTAATAATTATGATTTATGTAATTCCCTCTTGAGACAAATGGCATTTATTGCTGGTTGTTGCATACTTTGCTTTATCACAGCCACAGATTTGTAATCTTGCACCTAATATGTCACAGTGCAGAATGACTTACGAGAAGTGCTTAATTCCCTTAAAGATTTAAGTGAAACAAGATATTTATATCATTCATAATATTCAGTCAACATCAGGTCAGTTTAAATGAAGGAAATACATAAACCTAGATCCAGAGTAAAATAAAGTAAGTCATGATAACCAACACAGAACCTTTTCATTTTTTCTTTGTTTGATTAGTTTTTCCTTTCAATCATTTTTCAAGACAAAGCAATCAGAAAGTCGTGACAAATGAAAATGTAATTACTGCAACAACAAACAGGAAGAACAGGAAAACATCTACAGAGTAGTAGGAATACCAAGGCAGTCTGTGGGACTCGGTTCTCAGATGAGCTGCACCTTGGTGTTTTTTGCAAATTCTATCCAGAAGAGGGCGGTATCGATCGGCTTCATTGGCTGATCCCTGTGCAATCTGGAGAGTCTCTGCATGTTAATCCTGTAGGATGGTTCAGACAGTACTTCTTTGACAGTTTTCAGAAATGTGTCCTCTTTGTCTACAGTGGCTAAGGTAAGGATCTTAGCCGCTCCTCTGTCTTGCAGTCGTAAAAGATTGTCATACTGGTCATAAAACACAGGTAAACCCACTATTGGTACTCCATGGTAAATGGCCTCCTGGACTCCATTTGTTCCTCCATGAGCCACAAATAGTTTCACCTTTGGATGTCCTAAAAGGTCTTTTTGTGGCATCCAGTTAACCAGTAAAGTGTTTTTTCCAACAATGGCTGTTTTGCCAATGTGGGAATCACTTGTCATATCTATTGGAATACTGTAGAAGTTAAATCCACTGTGCTTACTCATTACATAACATCAGGATCAAGTTGGTTGCACTAGTTTTTATTTAGCTTTAACAGAGTAAAGGAGGCTGTACACAAAGACACACACCATATTTATAGGATTTCTATTTGTAAAATAAATATCTTTTATCTTCTTGTTCATCAATATACACTCCATGTTTTACTGTGTAAAATCCCAGTGAAATACAAAGAAGTTTGTTGTTTTATGGTGACAAAATGTGAAAATTCCAGTACTTTTGAAGCTCAAGGATCTTGATGTATAAGAGTCTAAATGGCTGTTGCAAGAAATGTTCATGATGTACAGAGCTTTGAACAGCATTCATACCCTTAGCGTCTGTACCCTTTCTGTCAAATTACAACCACAAACTCCTCAAAGTAATTCTCATGAGATTTTCTACTCATAGGGTGAGCAAAGACTTTGACCTACATGCAAAAAGCTATTCTGGCAGAAAGTTAACACTGAATATCTCCCCCAAACAAACCACACCCACAACAACCATGAAGAACACAGCTGGGGCTGTGGTATAGTGGTTGAACTTTTATTTATTCTCCACTTTTTCCTTGAACATTCATGAATTATTTCATTTTATTTCACAGTTATTTAAAATGCTCTAGGTTTAACATTGCTGTTGTAATCTTTCGTCACATATAATCGTTGGTTTGTTGTATAGAGTGTTGTATTTTGCCAGTCAGTTAGTTGTGAAGATGAGTTTATTAATCTTATTCCTCTTTTTTTTGCCTAGACTGTATTGTTTAGTTTAATCTTCTAATGATGCAGACTATAAAGGTACAGGTGTGTTTCAGGTCTATGTGAAATGAATGGATCTGGGGAGCTGAGAGGAGCTTAAGGAGAATTGTAAGAAGTAAATTATGCATTTTTTTTGTGGCTCATCAAAGATGGCAGAAATGAAGCCGTCATCTTATAAAATCCAATAAGAAGAAACTCAAAATGTCTCCCGATCCTCTCTACCTGAATTCTTCCTTATCACTGGTATAAGAAGATGCAGAACTAATCCAATAGAAAAAATATTGCTAGACTTGAAATTTTATTTCCAGATCCAATCTGACTGAGTGTGAGAAATTTAGCAAGAAGAATGGGCAGAAATGCAGTAGGGCAGCAACGAAGAATAAGGAAGTGATGCATTATAGTTCTTGCTTGCTTTGTCTGTAGGTGCAGGAACAAGTCATCAGGTCTGATTGGAAGGTTTATGTGAGCGAGTCAGAGTCCTGCTGAAGATGAAGAAAATACTTGTTGTTTTCTGTAAGTAAACTGACAGCAGAAAGAATCAAAATCTACATTTTAATTATTTTTGCACAATGAACATTGATGTGACTCTACACTTTTTGTCTTCAAGACATTTTGCTAAACCAGGTCATTGGCCAGACAGAAGGTGAGCGCATTATACGACAATACATAACAGAACAAGATGTATTTTAAGACGTTATAATGCTACATTTGTCTGTGTGTCTTTTTCTGTAGACTTGTATCCTGTAAAGATTCTGGTCCGGCAGAGAACTATAAGCGAGGGCAGTGACCTTCATGTAACCTGCAGCATACATGGGAAAAAGAAATACCCCTCTTTTTATGTTTATTTACTGAAAGATGGACAAGAACTTCAGAAATCAAATCAGAAGCAAAATGTGGATGATGTTCTTTTCACAATATTTAATGTTCATCTTAATCACAGTGGAAATTACAGCTGCTTGTACTCCACTACAAATTACAACCCTTCTGATGTAGAAAGGAAAGGACAGGACGTTGTTGAGATTCTGGTTATACGTGAGTATTTCTTTTATTCTTGTTAATCCCAAATGCAGCTGCCTTCATTTCTTATTTTCTCCAACTGCTATGCAGCCAATTTCATCCCAGCAGAGCTCTCCATAGCTGGACCTTTCACAGTTCATGAGGGAAGCAACGTTGAGTTTAAATGCACCTTTTCAGAAATCCTGCACACTCTCAATAACTGTCAACTCATCTACTGCTACCTGAAGAAGAATGAGACCATCCTTCAAGTACAAGTATTTGATCTTGCTCGGATGGAAGCCTCTTTCACCATTGA